AAAACTTTGCCTTATTTGAGGTGTGTCAACTTCACCAACCCAGAAACTGCATTTTCTTCAACACTACCCATTATCATTATTAGCTTTCAAATCCATATCTACCACTTCAAATTAACACTCGTTCACGGTCGATTACCTCATCAAATTATGTGAGTTTCCTCCAGAAAAGGCTCTCTCAGCCTCCAAGTACATGAACTTCGAAACCCCAGACAAACCAGACTCTGTTCTCGCATTCTTCAGCAACCATGGATTCACCGAAACCCAGATCTCACTTCTCATCAGAAGATTCCCTCCGGTACTGTAGTCCGATCCCCAAAAAACCCTTTTGCCCAAAATCTGATTTTTTCATTCTTTTTATTACTAAATTATTCGAGGTATAATGGTAAAATTACCCTAAAATCTGACGTCCATAAGACAAACTGTAAATGGAACTTTTTTTTCAAAAATTTTGCAACCTCAGGGAATTATTTAAACAGCTTCACACAAAATTGTCAAAAATACAAAAACTGAATGTCTACACTATTAATACAATAAGCATTTGCACTAACATATAGAAAGCATGCAATGAAAATTTTCAACCCATGATTAAACTTCCTGAACAAAAATTTAAACTATATGTTAATAATGTCAAATGTATAAAACCCCAGTAAGGCAGTTTCAGTTCACAAAAAACAATCATAGACACAAAGTAGTAGAAATCACAAACAACAAATTAATCCAATATAAGAAAAAAAAAAAAAAAATGGTTTCATAAAAGCATAAATTTTATCCAAAAGAGTTCATTCTAATTTCTAAATTCTAGTACACCCAATCCAGGCCCCATACTCTCTCTTATGTACATATGCTATCCCCTCCTGCTATGGATTCATTCGATATTAGACTCTTTTTCATTTTTTATTTTTTTTATTTAAAACTAATATTCGACTAAAAGTTTAAAAATGGACTTTAAATAGATTTTCACGTTGATACCTTATTTTGTGACAATTTCCCCTCACTTTTAATTCTTTACTTGTTAAAAAATTATAATTTTTTTATTCTAGAAACAAATAGGCCCATAAATTCTTAGAATTTCAGTGGTTACTCGAACACCTAAACCTAGGTCTCATAGTGGCCATCATATAAAAATCAAATGAGATAATTTCTTAATTTATGGTAACTCTTTGAATTTCAATATAAAATTATATGAATGCAATCATTAAGGAGTTAGAATGTTACTTTGAACTACCTCCTCCGTATTTTACAAACCACTAAAATGTAGGAATTCATCATCTTAAATAAATCCATTTCAAAAAACTATAATCCTTTTGAAAATGATGAATTTCGTCCTTATCAAGAAACTCAAAACCAAACGTATAGGAGGAGGAATAAGCAAGTTCCCTATGCTCCTGAATAGTCCATCCAAGACGAGGGACTTGTCACTTAAGTTAAGCGAAGCTAAAAGAGACGAAACTATGAGACACTATTACTATCGGAAGAACAGAAAGGAAGGGAAAGCAAGAGAAAATTGAACTCCAATTAGGTTTAACAAATGCAATAACTTCAGAACTCGCAATAGAACTACACACTATATCAAATCCTAGCTAATGATACTTCCGAAACAGAAAAAATAGATACTAATTATTTGTCAATTAAAAAAAGCTTAAAACCTAGGTTTAACAGCTAAGACAAAACCAACCATTTAATCGATATTTAAAATGAAAGAACACTGTAAATCAAAGCAACATATGAAAAAGATAATAAACTAAACGCATTGCCAGAGTGTCAAAACTCCAAACCCTAGATTTCATTATTTTTACACAGCAAAATCACCAGAACTCAAGAACTAATAGATAAGGAGAATCAAAAATTGAGAGGGTTTGATCTGAAAAACATACGTACCAAAAGCTAAATCGAGACAGGAGGCGAGTGAGAGATCCTTAGCAGAAAGGATTGATAAAATAGAAAGAGTCGTTAGGGTTTATCAAGTAAACCTGAATGAGCCATGTACGTAATCGTAGTGCGTTTCAGGTTGACGGTGGTGTGAAACAAACTGTTAAAATTCTTACAAAAATAAAATAATAAAATCGTATTACCATTTACCTAGTTGGTATTTGCTAAATATTTTTTATTTTTTATTTTTCTTTCTTCCTTTTGTATTTGAATTTGACCTCTGAAAATTATGTATTGAAAATTTTAAAAGCTAAATTTTAAGTGATATTTTTTTTTTTTTGATAAGTAAGATTTTATTGAAAACGCTCAAAAGGGGAGCGGAACACAAAGAAACACAAGGGCCAAAGGGCGCCTCAAACCTTCAAAGAGACCAAAAAAACAAAAATCTCCTCTAAAGATCTATAATCTCTCCCTGAGACCCAACAAAAAAGAGTAGAAATAATAGAGAACTTAAGTATAGAAACAGGTTTCTACTTTCCCTCAAAATATCTCCGATTTTTCTCAAGCCAAATGCACCACCAAATACAAAGATGCGTAGCTCTCCAAGCATCCTGCATGAGAGCCCCAACAGAAACACCTTTCCAAGCCTCAACCCTTTAGAGGAACAAGGCATAACCCAATGGACCCCAAATAATCCAAGCATCAAATCCCAACAGTCTCTGGCCATGCTGCAGTGTAAAAGAAGGTGATCAATTGTCTCCTCATTACAGAAGCACATATAACAACGATTGACCACCACCTGATTCCTCCTCCTCAAATTATCCTGGGTTAAAATCTTACCCAGGACGGAAGTCCAAGCAAAGAAGACAATCTTAAGGGGAGCCTTAGAACGCCAAATAGACTTCCAGGGGAAAGGGCTTCCGGTACCAACCGAAAGGCACCTAATAAAGGACATAACCTCGAATCAACCCTGAGAGTTAGGATCCCAAAGCCAACAATCTGAATCTCGAATTGTGATCACCTGGCGATACAGAACCTCCAAAAAATGAGAAACCTCCTCAATCTCCCAGTCCTGAAAGTGTCTTCTAAACTGAACATGGTTTGTCTGTGATAACAGTCAACCACCATGGTTTGTCTGTGAAAAGCAATCCTATAGAGCCGTGGGAAAGCAAGAGCAAGGGGAAGCTCCCCACACCAAAGATCCTCCCAAAATCTGATCCTCCTACCATCCTTGATCTGAAAACGAACATGCTTGCAGAAACATCCCACCCCCTCCGAATGAAAGTCCAAACCCCCACCCCTCTAGGACCACGCACCTCAAGAAAACTCCAACCACCGCGGCTCTCCCCAAACTTGATCCCACCGAACCAGATGATACCTGAACCCCCCCCAAAAAAAAAAGAAAGTTGCACTGCAATCTCTCAATTCTCTCAGCCACTGAAGAAGGAATCTGAAAGAGGGAGATAAAATAAGTGGTGAGGCTAGAAAGGGTGCTCTTAACCAGAGTGACCCGGCCCCCCTTTGAGAGGTACTGCTTTTTTTTTTATTTCACTCCAAACACCTCCAATTCAAACATTTTTAATCAAAAACATCCATCGGAACATGTCATATTATGTGGATCCAATAGATAGGAAAGTGTCACTTTATCTGGTTACCTATAAAATAAATATGTTGCAGATGATATTCACACCCACAATTCATCACCTGCAGCACTTCACTTGAATCTTTTAATAATTAAAAGTTCAAAATTTTCATTAAAATGGAGTGTAAATGTATTGTTCTATTATTTATAAAATGTGAATGTGTTTTTGAATTGTAATATAACGGATGCATATAGTATTACTGATTAAATTTTATCATACAAGTGCACAAAGAATTACTTGCTTTTGGCATAAGAAGAAAGAAGATTACACCAAGAGGTTTTTGGCTTAGTGATATTTTCTCTTCCTTCCAAAGTAAATGGCAAGGGTTAGGGTTCATGTTGTATGCTAGTTTTTTACCAATGAAAAAAAATCGTATAAGCCAAGAGCGTACAAAGTTTCCATTATTCCTGTAATTGCTCGCTCTGGTCACCACACACATTTATTGAATATATTGCGAAAGAGGTGATAATATGCTCATTCTAACACTTCAGTTGTCTGGCATTTATGAATGTACCACCCCAACACACACACACAGAAACCTTCTCTTAAACCTGATTCCTGGTATTCATTGTCAACCTACCCTCTTAGATGACCCAGGGTGCCACTTCAGCAGCAAAGAAACTTGCTAAGCCCATCAACATCTCCCACTTCAGCCAGTAGAGATCTGCTGAGATTAGATTCATGGAGAACTTCAAACTAAATTTTTTTATAAACTGGGTTTGGCTAGATTTAAGGGTGTGTATGATCTACTCTGAAAATAGCTAACTGGGTTAGTGAAAAATCCGTTTCGAGATGAACTGGTATAGGTCCTCCCAGAATTCATCCTGGACAAACTGAACATCATAACCAAACTTAAAGAAAGTTCTCAATACAGAAATGGAAGAAGATGGTATATGGACTAAATCATGAATTGAACCAACAATGTCACACTTGCACAAAGAGAACAGCGTTATATGATCTAATTTATTATGCTCTGAACGAAAGACGAAGATATCTGTTGCTGGGACTGAGTTAGATGTTTGCATCATTACAATTAAAAATCAAAATCATCAACTTACCAAATTGAACTAGGTGCAAAATTGTAAGTCAAACAAAACCAAGATCACCTAGACTAATCTCCCAGATAAACGGACAATGGTATATCACAGCAAGCCTAAACCACTACAAAAGTACACAAGAATTCAATGGACCATGTTGTTGAAATTCAAGTTTCATGCCAGAACTAAAACATAGAATTCAAATTTGCTCAGACAGCAGAAGTCAGTGTATAGTTGGAAACAGAGATGCATCCACTCTTTTCCTCATATACCCATATCCTAGTTACTTTGAAAGAATCAACTTCTCCTGATATAACTTCAAAAGCTCAGGAGCTTCTTCCTCATATTTTTTCACATACTTCTTTAGGAAGTAACTTTCAGAAGATTAGGCAAGTCATAAATCATGAACACCCTTAAATCTAGCCAAACCTAGTTTATCAATTTTAGTTTGAAGTTTTCAATGAATCTAATCTCAGCAGATCTCCAGTGGCTGAAGTGGGAAATGTTGAAAGGCTTAACGAGTTTCTTTGCTGCTGAAGTGGCACCTTGGGTCTAAAAGGGTAGGATGACAATGAATACCAGGAATCGGGTTTGAGAGAAGGTTTGTGTGTGTGTGTGTGTGTTTTGAGGTGGTACATTTATAAATGCTAGACAACAGAAGTGTTAGAATGAGCATATTATCATCTCTTTGGGTCATCTAAAGGGGTAGGATGACAATGAATACCAGGAATCGGGTTTGAGGGAAGGTTGTGTGTGTGTGTGTTTTGGGGTGGTACATTCATAAATGCCACAAAACATGAGTGTTAGAATGAGCATATTATCATCTCTTTCGCAATATATATTCAATAAATGTGTGTGGTGGCCAGAGTGAGCAATTAGAGGTATAATGGAAACTTTGTACGTTCTTGGACTAAATGATTTTTTTTTTTTCATTGGCAAAACACTCACACACCCTTTGCCTGTGGGAACGTGAACCTTTACCATTTTAAAGTGAAAGTATCAAAGTGGAGAAAATAGAGAAAGTATCAAATTGTCACTTTCTCTTTTCTTCATTAAAAGAGAAAGTACTTTCTTGAAATTGAAAAGTGAAATTACTTTCTTCAGGAGCATAGGGAACTTGATATTCCTCCTCCTGTATGGTTGGTTTTGAGTTTCTTGATAAGGACAGTAGTGCTTTGTAAAATATGGAGGAGGTAGTTCAAAGTAACATTCTAACTCCTTAATGATTGTATTCATATAATTTTATAATGATATTCAAAGAGGTACCATAAATTAAGAAATTATCTCATTTGATTTTTATATGACGACCACTATGAGACCTGGGTTCAGGTGTTCGAGTAACCACTGAAATTCTAAGAATTTATGGGCCTATTTTTTTCTAGATAAAAAAATTTAGAAATTTTTAACAAGTAAAGAATTAAAAGTGAGGGGAAATTGTCACAAAATAAGGTATCAACATGAAAATCTATCTAAAGTCCATTGTTAAACTAATAGTCTAGTATCAAATCAATCGGTAGTTGTCACTTCCCTTCCCCCATACCATAGCCGGAGGGGATAGCATATGTACAGAAGAGAGAGTACGGGGCCTGGATTGGGTGTATTAGAATTTAGAAATTAGAAGAACTCTTTGGGATAAAATTTATGCTTTTATGAAACCATTGTTTTTTTTTTTCTTGTATTGGATTAATTTTGTAGTTTGTGATTTATACTACTTTGTGTTTATGATTGTTTTTTGTGAACTGAAATTGCCTTACTGGGGTTATATACATTTGACATTATTAACATATAGTTTTTATTCAAGAAGTTTAATAATTGGTTGAAAATTTTCATTGCATGCTTTTTATATGTTAGTGCAGATGCTTATTGAAATGTTAGCACAATTTTATGTTAGTACAATTGTATTAATAGTGTAGACATTCAGTTTTTGTATTTTTGACAATTTTGTGTGAAGCTGTTTAAATAATTTATGGGTTAAATATAGTGACCTTCCCTGAGGTTGCAAAATTTTTGTAAAAAAGAGTTCCATTGTCCTGCCCTCAACAGTTTGTCTTATGGACGTCAGATTTTAGGGTAATTTTACCATTATACCCCAAATAATTTAGTAATAAAAAGTATGAAAAAATCTGATTTGTCAAATGACATCTTTGCCCTCATTATAATTATATTTATTTTCACTCTCCTCTCTTTACATCCTACACCACTACCCTCTAACCATGGGCACCACCTCTCAACCTCCTACGGTCCCACGACCACCACCAACCATGGCCAACACCTCTGTCCACCACCCTCCAATCACTGCCACAACCTCTCACCACCACCACACGACCACAGCCACCACCTCTCAACCTTCTACCACCACCACTGTACCACCCCACAATTGATTCATATACTTCTGGAATTGAGATTGTTGGTCTGGCTGGTTTGGTTCAATAGCTGTTGTCGCCATTGTATGGAAGTTAGATGAGTCCTGTAAAATCTGATCTTATAATAATATATTTGCTGACTGATAAAAAAATCTGGCCATGGAAGATTTTTTCTTTCTTTATTTTTGGGGAAGATAATCTGGTCTTGAAGGTTGATGAAACTAAATACGTAACTTGGATGGATAGGAATTAACTACTGACTACACATGGGATAAATATATTTATGTATATGTATAAAGATGTAACTTAGCTATAATATATTTAGTCTATAAATATACATATATATGGAACCACAAATGGGTCTTCTCTGTTGAAACTTGAAAGCCCTTTGGGGGTGGCTGCTTTAGTAATTAGAGGACAGAGGATGTCTATTGCGTGTTTTGAAATGCATGATCCAGCCATATAAATATACATATGCATAGAATAACAAGTGGGTCTTCTCTGTTGAAAGCCCTTTGGGGGTGGTGGCTTTAGAGAGAGAGAGAGAGAGGGAGGCGGCGGTGGAGAGAGAGGATAGAGGGGAGGCTTTGGTTGGGGTAGCAGCGATGGGTGGGGAGGAGAGAGAATGTTATTTATTATTTTATAAGTAGAGAGAAGTGTGATTTTGACAATGCAAATATGACACTTTTTTTTTTTTTTTTTTTTGGTAATTTAATGACTTTCTAAGGGTAATTACATCATTTTGGATGAGTTGATGTATTTTGGCATCCAATATTTTTTGGCTCAACTAACTTTTTGGACGGAGGGGGTATTTGTAATCACGCACCAAAGTTGAGGGGAACATGGTGCAACTCTGTTAAAAAGTTTCACGTGTTTAATTAGGCTAAACCTTAGGGAGATTAGTGTATTTAATTCGTAATTTATTTTGCAGTAAAATTTACTTGTTATATATTGAATGTAAAAGTCGATATTAGTGGTAAGTTGTTGACAGACCTCACTTAATAAAAATCATGGTTTCGCCCCTAAAATCAGCACTTGCTGGCCAATCATGGGAACCACTGGGGTGAAAAATCACAGTGCCCGTCACTCACATGGGAGATGCCATTCCACATTTTCATTCATATAATTTGGTGGTTGTTCCGAAGTTTCATTTTATTGTTCAACTTTGAAAGTTAGAAATCAGTGTTTGACAAATTGAACGACTGACATAAAGTTTTTTTGGCAGGATTTTGAGGCATACGTGACAAATTGAACTTGCTTAAAATCCTTGACTTGGGTTTTTCTAGAGCTGGAAGAATCTGTATATCCTTGGGCAACAAGAATATGTCGTCAGATAAGAAAGAAGAGAAAGGTGCCCAGGATGCGGCAGAAAGAATTAAGGCTGCAGCTTTGACAGCTGCAAAAGGCCTTAGCCGTGCTCAGGCTGAGCGAGCTGCTGCTGCTGCTGCCCGAAATGTGAATGCGTACGGGCAGAAGGAAGAAGGGCCCAGTAGATGGCAGGAGAGGAAGGAGGCCAAGCGACAGATGTATTTGATGAGTACTGAAAAACAAGTAAGATTGGGTGAAAGAAAAGACCTCAGGCCTTCAATGTCTACCACAGGTGGTACAGCTTCGCAATGCCAAAAGTGTTTTCAAACTGGGCACTGGACTTACGAGTGCAAGAACGAGCGGGTGTACATTTCACGACCCTCTCGCACCCAGCAACTCAAAAATCCAAAATTGAGGATGAAGTTGTCAACCTCCTATGAGTTGGATAACCCAGATATTCCTCAGGAGTCGAAGGGTGATAAGCATGCAAAGCGTGAGAAGAGTGCAAAGAAAAGCAAAAGGAAGCATAGGTCAGATACTGAGTCGAATAGTGATAGTGAGTCTGATAGTGCTACCTCATCAGTTACCGGATCTTCTTCAGGTGAGGGTGATTTGAGTTACGGTTCATCCTCTGATTCGGAGGAAGAGAGGAAGAGGAGGAGGAGGAGGAGGAGGAATAAGCAGCAGCAGAAGAAGAGGCGGCAACGGAAATACTCTGAGTCTTCTGATTCAGATTCCGATTCTGAATCTGATTCTGAAGATAGGAGCAGCCGGAAGAAGGGCAGGAGGCATAGCAGAAGGCGCTGAAAAGGCAGTACGAAGAAGGAAAAACAAAAAAGAAAAAGTGCAGCCTATTAGGCATTGTCTGTAGTTGTGTGTTTCCGACTATGGCATTGTCTTGCAAGTCTATTAGGCCATGTAATATGAAAATCTCTAGATAAAAGGTTTTGGACGTTTTGAAAGACAGGTCTTCTTAAAATAATTGTGGTATACATTATTATTATTATTATTTTTATATTAATAGTACTAGTTCTAATTTTGACAGTTATATTATGGATGCTGCAACTCCAAAATTTCAGTAGTACTTTTTCCACTTAACATGTTTTATCATCTTTAGCATGACAATGCAAGCAAAACCTGGTGCCGATCATGGTCAATTCTTGATATGCTGCTTCTATTTTCCTCTTCCTTCCAAGCTCCGGAATTATTGATTCAGCCACTCACTAGTTGACAAGGCAAATAAATGTATAGGTTCATTTAAATTTTTGCTTACGTGTTGACTACGGAATAAATGATCTTGGAATCATCTAACAATTATTTGGTGTCACTTTCCTCGGTAAATTAATTTGGAAAATAATGTCACAAGAAACCGAATTGACATCCTTTTGAATATTATATGTAATTTGATATATATATATATATTTAGTAATATATATATTTTTTGTTAAAAAGAGTAGAATTTAGTGCAAGAATTCACTGAATGTAAGCAATTTAATTTTAAAAAGTATATGTATAGAGTAAAATTTTGATGCAAATGTTGCACAAAATTACTAACAACTCGACATGACTTATAAATAAATTTTTAATTTTATTCAGACCATTGCTTACATGTATGTTGTAATCGGCCGAGATGATATAAACCCTGTCTATGTAAAAATTTCACCCAATAGGCTCCTTAAACCCATATGGGCCAGGAAAAAAACACCATATGGGCCATCGTTTAAAAAAAAAAAAACATATGTTCTTAAAGTCCCATTAAATGACAAGTGTGCCCCTGTTACCAAGTTAAATATTTGGCCTACCCTTTTCTACTCTCAGTAGGAGATCAGGGGATTGAAAGAGAGAGCTTCAACTGAGAAGAGACGGTAACGAAACAAGTCTGCTAAGCTGCGAAGAACTCAGAATCTCTCTTAATCTCTGTTTATCAAAATGAGTACCATGAAGTTCTGCCGCGAATGGTCAGTCATTCATAAATTTATAGATGTTTACATATATAATACACACACACACACACACACACACACACACACACACACACATATATATATATATATATATATATATATATTAGTTCGATATAATTATTCTCTGATATATATATATATATATATATATATATATATATATATATATGCAGTAACAACATTCTTTACCCTAAGGAAGACAAAGAGCAAAAGATCCTTCTCTATGCTTGCCGCAACTGCGATCACCAGGTTTGTTTCTCTCTACCTATTCATATGTGTTAGGGTTTTTGTACACATGTATATAAATTATAGCAGTTATCAGTTTCTTCTATTGATTCAGAGATTAACCTTTACAAAAACCCTAATCTATTTCTCCATTTTTTTATTTTTTTTATTTGGGGGATGATGTGTTTTGGTGTTGTATTGTGTTCTCCAAACACACTTAAATGCTATTTTGTACGAAATCTCCGTTTGGATTTATGTGGAAGTGTATGGTTTGAAATTTATGGCGAAATAGTGTACATTTGTTTCAAGATGAAAGGGGAAATTGTATAGTCACGGCATTCAAGAATGAGCATTTTGTATGTTTTGATGTTTACATCTCCTTGCTTAAGAATTGCTACTCAGTGGGTTGTTTGACTTTTTCTATTTGCAGTGTTTGTAAGAATATTAGGAACTTTGAGCTTGAAACTTTTATTTGTGTTTTGTGACCTCTGTCTACAGCCTACATGCACATATCTATAGTTGAAGTCCACTGAAAGTAGGGACTCATAATTGTTTAAAGTTTCCTTTATAATTGAAACTGGTTAAATAAAATTGGCTTCAAGATGCTCCAAAAACTGGTGGAGTTTTTAAGTTCTCTATTGAATCTCGTAAAATGTTTTGTGGACTCTTCCAAAAATGTATAAAGTATCCGTCTTTGACATATAACACTTGGAGATGGTTATGGGATTCAACACTAATGGTTTTGTATTCATCTAACATGAATATCCATTAATTCATTTTTTAAGATAATTATACATAAAACTCTTTCATTATGTTCCTTTTCTTCAAACAAGTAAAAAAATTATTTTACACCTAAAAAAGTTAAAGAAAATATTAAACAACATAAGTTTTTGACTGTGTCCTTGTGTCCTTCGATTTGAGAATTTGATAAATATGATGCTTAGACATATACTTGTACCTGAGTCCATGTAATATAGATCTCTTTCGATACTGATCAGTCTAGTTTCTGGCATGCTGTTCTCCTCACTTGGAATGCTGGCCACTTCATTTCTGCTTGAATAAATTGGTCTGTTGATCTTAAGGCCATGTTTAGTGCGGGTGAATGGAATCAAATCAGAGGGAATGGAATGCTTTTCTTTCCATTCTTGTGTTTGGTATGGGCTATTAAAGGTGGAATCATCATTTTCCACCATTCTTGGAGAATGGTCATTCCACCAAAATCATTCTTTCTCTTTACCAATGGAATGGGCATTCCATTCCCACATGGAATAGGATTAAAAAAATTATGACCCAAAAACCTGTTCATCATCTTTTTTCTAAACCCATCTCTATTCTCTTCCAACCCATCGACATCTTCCAACCTATCGACATTGGAGTTCCTTCCACAGCCTAGAACTGCGGCGACAACAAAGGTGGTCCAAGTAGAGGAAGCTATCAGACAATCCAGAAACACCGTTGAGATCAGAGACCTTGGAAGTCTAGATCGCACCTTCAACTCCTTTGACGTTGCCACAATCTTTGTCCCCGATATCAGAACTGTTATACTTCTTTCCATAATCCAGCCGTCTTGCACCGCCGCCATCATCATCTCCTTTCTCAACGGTGGAACATACAACCCAACTCAGCCGCCTCTCTCGTCTCCAAGCGTTGGTTTCACCTTCGCTGTGCCGCCGGAGACAGATTCGGCTTCCTCATCTTCCTCCGTTTTTTTCTCTCACTACCCCTTATCTCACCACCACCGCCGAAGACACCTCCCCTTTGTTTGATCAACTTCTTCTCAACATGGCGTCTTCTTGCCTTTTTGCCTTCTTGCCCTAATCTTCAACACCTTGTTTGCCCCAATTTCATTTCTTACGTTAATTTTTTTGTTAAATTTATTTATTTATTTTTTTTGAAGTTAAATTTCTTTATTCATGATAAAGGGTAATTTGAAGAAATCAGTGTAAATTAATTCCATTCCAGTTTTTAAATTGGTTCAACCAAACACATGAATGAGAAGCATCATTCCATATTTACAACATTCCATGTTTGCAACCAAACACTAGAATGGAATGGTCATTCCCATTCCATTCGCAGCTTCATTTCATTCCCACTCTATTTCATTCTTGCACACCAAACTAGCCCTAAGTGGAATGTGAATTTCAAGGAACCAAAAAAATAATAATAATGTTACACTTATTACATTTTTAAGGTTGTTTCAATTCTGAATGATTCTTAATCAGGGATATGAAATCATGTCCTAATACCATTCTGGTTTTGTCTCTTATTATTATCTTACTTGAGGATCATCAGTCTCCCATTTATCTCTCTTTTCTTTTCCAACATTGTACAGGAGATTGCCGATAACAACTGCGTCTACAGAAATGAGATACACCACGCTGTTGGGGAGCGTACCCAAGTCTTGCAGGATGTGGCTGCAGATCCAACTCTCCCACGTACAAAATCAGTTCGTTGCACTCAATGCGGTCATGGAGAAGCTGTTTTCTTTCAGGTAATTTTGTTGGTGCCAACCTTGTTTATATTTAAGCAATGGTGTTAATATTGCTGATTAAGCTTGTCAGCATGGCTGGAACATTGACTTCACATATTATCTGAAGAAACAAGTATTCAGTTTCCTGGAGAATCAATTCTAGATCTGTTCCTCCTGGTATATTTTAAGAAATAAGATGCATTTACTCGCTTGTGGAATTTTTATCTGTTAAATGTCTCTACAACTTGGCTTATATCAAGTTCTGTAATGTTGTCAAATCTGTAGCTGTTGTGGTTTAGTTTCACCTTAGTGGGCTGGGTAGCCATTCTAGCTTGCATCGCATTTTGGTTGCTTCTATTTGGTGTCGCTCTTTTGATGTAGCCTACAAAGGACTCTTTTGAGGTTTTGCTGGCAGCTTGAACCTTTTTTTTTTTATGAGATTTCTTATTCCAACTTAGGTTTTAGTTTATGTTAATCTAGATGAACATTAATCTGGCAAACTTGGTGGAGGTAGATGGTCAGACATGAAACAAAATTTCTTGATATCACCAGTATCTCCCTTTAAAAGATATTATTATCGCAGCAAACCGAGGATTGTAGAAATACTTGGGCATATGTTTTTCTTTTATTTCCTTAAGCAAGTGCATCCTGCCTAAGCCGGGTAGTGGTGGTGGAGGGGAAGATAGATAGAACTAACCTTTTGCATAATGTTGCACAAAATGGTTACTCTGAGACTCGCATCTTTTTTTTATCTTTGCGATTACAATTCAATTCACGCCAAGGAATTTGAGAGATTTAAATTTACCATGCTGAAGAGTGAGCTAGTTGGAAGTTTCTTTTTTATTTTGTTGCCATTATTTAATGATATTGTGGGGGTGTGAGCCACACTATACTTACAATTGTGCTTCTGATTTATTTTTGGGATAAATCTGCAGGCAACTGCGAGGGGAGAAGAAGGTATGACACTATTTTTCGTCTGCTGCAACCCTAATTGTGGCCATCGTTGGAGAGACTGAATTAACCCTGTACATTCAAGCGTGCAGTGGAAACTTTTGTATTACTCATCTTTCAAGAACCTTACTCTAACAAAACTTGTTTCAACTATTTGGGATCTACTAATTAAGAGGAGAGTGGGTAGAGAGAGCGAATTTGTTATGATTTGCGTGCACTTGTGGTTTTGATTGTCATATTAGTTACTTGAATGTAAACCCATGCATGCTTTGATCATGGTTAAAAATGTTGACCTTGTTGAATTATTTCTCTAGTCACCCTTTCTACACTGAAGGCTCTACAAAATACTTTTGTAGTGTAGGGTGTTGAATTCATGGTTGCTTACTATGTTATTGTCTGCCTCAAGTTTGCAGAGATTTGGAACAGAGATTTGGGAGAAGAAAAAAAATGCCCCACTTATTATTGTGCTAAAATCCTGCATTTAAACCATTTATCCTCCCTCTCCAGCCATCATGCTTTGTAGCAACTAAAAAGTCCCGCATTTTTCTTCGACCTTTTTTCTTTAGAATATTGAGATATTTTTCACACTTTTTAGGGTGACTGATGAATCATAAAATGGGTCACAACATATCAACCCGTTCATATCCGTTCATTTTTTATTGGTTTTGGGTGAATCATATTTAAAGTGGGTCAAAAATGGGTTGGGTAATTTTTAACCACTTAATTTGAGGGTCAAGGGTATTCATTTTCAACCCATATTTCACCCATCACATAATAGGCACATAACACGCATCTATTCTATATTGCACTCACCCCATTTCTCTCTTTCTAAAATTTTCTAACTCACTCTAAAACGATCTCTCTTTCTAAAATTTTCTAACTCACTCTAAAACGAGTCGATAAATATTGTTTAGTTTGAGATTATTATTATTTTTTATTATTTGTATAATTATATATATATATATATATATATATGTATTCTCTGTATTTCTGTTATAAAAAATAGTAATATATTATTATGATAGGAGTGATGCACATGAACTTTCACTGTTTAACTTGAAAATTTTCTCTTTTTGACAAATTATATCTCTACAAAATGCTGATCATTGGAATCTGTACATACATATATTTTGACAAAAAGAAAATATATATATATATATATATGTAGGGCGTGATCATATGCATTTGATCCATGTTTGTTTGTATTTCGACCCTGTCAACTGTTCAGTGGGTTGGACAGGGCATTTGCTTTCGACTTGGACATTTTTACATCATTTGTTTCTTTCTACCTTAATACAAATTTTACCATATTAAAGAATATATATATATATATATATATATATATATATATATATATTAATGGTTCACTGTTTAATTTGAACTCCTATGAGTTAAAACGTTGAAATTTCATAAAATAATATAAAAGTACGATTTTTTTAAAATTTTTTTGAAGAATATATATGTACTAAATGAATTTTGTATTCTTATTACTTACCCTCAACCCGTAGCAATTAAAATTATTTTTAGTAATAAAATGTATTTTTTTTCTTTATTAAAAATATATATATATATATATATATATATATATATATATATATATATATAAAAGAATGAAAATGGGTCGTTGGATCTTATGGGTTGCCCCAACCCATATTTGACCCATTACAAACGGGTTGAATATGATCTACAACCCATTTTCAACCCACCCATATTTGACCCTTCCCAAATCCCCACTCCTAGTAATTAGCAACCTTATAAAAACACAAAGAAATAATAAAACTATCTTTGAACAACTAAAAATTTATTTACCGATTACTATTTATTTATAAACATTAAAGAAGAAGCAGAAGTGAGTCGCTATCTTAAAATGAAAGGATATAATCCCAACTATTTTATTGTGCCAAGCCATGGAACAGATTAAAACTTTCATTTTTCTTTGATCATTATCAACTGATAATTTTTAAGCTGTCTATACACGAATGATTTTTTGGTGGATTAATTTCCCCATAAACCAGCTAATCACCTTGAGATATGTCCCTCCTTCCCTCTCTATCAACCAATTTCCCAAACTGGACCAATGAGTATCCAGAAGGGCCCAAAAAAAAAAAAAAAGACCAATAAATAAGAAAGGAAAACATATCTACAAAGATGATTTTTCTAAAAAAGAAAACGGAAGGGCTAGGTCCAACCTCAATACTGGCTGATTTTTCTACAAAATTGTATCCAATAAACCTACAAAGATGATAGAGTCCGTGTGAACCAGTCTGATAAGTGTCTCATTTTCACTGAAAGCTCTGCGTTTCTTCCAAAGTATGATTCAGCATTTGACAACATGACTGCAACGTCATGCTTCATCGCCTCCAAACTTCGATAGTAGCTGTTCTCTAATCTAGACCGGATCACTTCAAGAGACAATGGAACCGGAAACCTGCAAAAACGGAGACAGATCAAAATCCAACTTCAACTTCCCCACTTTCGAAGAAGAAAAAATGTATTCAAATAGTAAAGAATAAAACAAATTTGCACACGCTCAAGATATTATGATATGTGACTTGAGACATTAATGCATCCAGAATAGCAGAGTAGGTTCTATGTGACTCGACGACTTTTGCAGATAACCATTTCACATGTATGTGAAAAATGCAAAACCAAATGAGAGAACTCACAAACGAAGGGCATGGCAGAGAAGATATACCTGTTAACAAAATTTGACCTCTGAGAAACCTGTGTCAATTTTTGAACCCCATAACGATCCTGAAAGTTCCAGGATAAAATTAATATAATTCATTGTTTGAATTTCACATTGAACCATCTATTACTATAAATATTTATATTTTTATATAAATGATTCAAGCCTCCAAGTTACCTGAACTCTGTTCCCTGATTGCTCCAGTTTGGCAAAAGAATGCAGCAACTTTTCTCTGATCTCATCATCAATATGGGGTTGCTCCCACTGGGTATCAGCATCATATAGTTCCCAAGGACTATGCGGATGCGGTCCTTCCTGATCATTCTTGTACTGAACATAAAACTTTTCCCAAGGGCTGTCTGGAAATTCAGGAGATTTGGCCTTCACAGCCACGATCCGGCCATTCCACCAACTCCCATCTTCCTCACCATCATTCTTCCACCAGACTTGGCATTTATCCCTGTGTGTCCAATTTCTCCGCATAGCAGCATCATACCTAGTTCTTTCAACAAGGAAGTCCGGAAATCCAACCACTTCTGGCAGAGTCAATGTGAATGATTTACCAGTCACACTGGAAGAAGGATCTACAAATTGAAGTGTCATTTTACAGCAGCTCTCCCCAGAACCTGAACATGCTGAATACTGGAGGTCTACAACCTTACAAAATTCCACATCCCTGATGTTTCCCTTGATTGTTTCCCAAGGGCCTATGTTTCTCAAGCGAATATGATCCATATACTCCTGATGGCCCTGAGAAATAGGAAGGCCCGGCACTGAATTATCCTCTTAAACAACATAATTCGAAATCAAGAATGAATACATACAGCAACAAATGAAAAGCAAGTAATTTTACTACTTACCTGCCTCAAGTACACAACATCGTCCCCTTGCTGGGGAATATATCGGGACACTTCCTCATGCGTCAACAGCAACCACGAGTTCTTTCCTGATTGATGGGATTTCCTTTTATCTGTTGGACTAATGTCACGAACGTGACAACTTCCTCTCCTATTTCTGGTCGACCTTGGCCCAACTGTAACTCTTGAACTTGATCTCCATTCTTCATAGGGTAGTTCCTTACATCTGTTGATGAAGGATTTTTCTACACTCGTTGATGTACCTTCTGAACCATCACGATCTACCCTCAATGGGATGTTGCTCACAACATTTGCATCACGAATGATTGCTCTGAGTCCCATAGACCGTGTCCTATGAACCCCATTAGTTGTGGCTTCAGGGAAGTCTACTTCTGCATCAAGATTATGATTGGTTGCATCAGAAGTGCTTGCTACTACCATGCCTCCACTGTTACCTGCTAGATCACTTCTACCCCTAAATGACTTGGACCTTCTATAAACAGCATTGTACATCTTATCATGTGAATGCAACTTCTGCGAATCTTGCAAAACAGGCCTTGAAATCCTATCAATTTGAGCCTCTGAATTTAGTACACCATTCTGCTCTCCATGTTCCAAACTGGTTTTATCGATGCCATCATAATCAAGCACCTTTGAATTTAGATTATGCTCTGTGCCCAAAGGGCTTTCACCTAACTCATCACCACCGTTGTTCTTCCACTCTTCAGCTGAAGATTTAATTTTTAGCTTGGAAGGACTTTCACCATCCCTTGAAATCCTTTTGGACCTTATCCTCAACTTTGTTGAGATAGGTTTAGGCTTCTCTGTATATTCAGACGGGCTTCCAGTCCCATTACCGCAGGGAACAGAAGATGTAGTTGTATCATCAACATCCTTGTGACACTGTTTTGGAGATCTGTCATAATCCTTCCATTCATCAATTTCAGAGTTCTCATTTCCATTTCTTGCACCATCCAGAACTTGAGGAGTAGCAGCTCCATAACATTGCTGGTCCATTTGAACTGTTTCGTCCTTCCGACCTCCATTTTCTTCATTTTGGGTTTCTGAACAAGGGTAAGTTTTACCACACTCTTCAGATATAGAGAACCCATTGGCAGCATTCTCAATCTTAACAGCATCATCGAGACATGAAACAGATCCTGCATAGGTACCAGATGGCAAGGGTTCCCCCATTTTCAGCCGTTTGGATGTGCGAGCCTTGACCCCTCCCCATCTAATCTTCCCATCATTGTATCCTTCAAACAGGTCTAAATGATGTTCAGCCTTTGAAGCTTGCCCCTCACTTCCTTCAGTTTTTCCCCACTTGAAGTCGCCAGATGAGTTATCCGGACCTTGAGAGTAATCCCTATTTACTTCATTAGAATCATGTATAGGTTTAGATGATGAGCCTACATCAGCCTTGTTGTCACATTTCAGTATTCTGTTCTCTGGAGGTGCAAGCTTATTTAAATCACGAATTGGCAATTTGAGGACTAATCTCCTCCTGTTTCCAGCATTCAAATGAGATTCAGAGCATTCAGGAGGTTTATTCACAAACTCTGACTCATCCATAAATACTTTTTTCCCTTTTGAATTATCGTGGTGTTCATTTTGAGGTAACTCATCAGATTCTTCACTCTCAATGTTTGAATCCTGAAGTGTGGATTCACTTTCTGAAGCATCATCTTCTAAGCCATCTGCATCTTCTCCATCTGTAGATCTTTTAAATCGAGAAAACATAGTAAGAGCATTGCGTGCAGCAGCTCTTTGAGGCCTCAATGACTTTGATAAAGAAGACTTCCGCCTTGAAACTTTTCGTCCATTTCTAGATTTCCTAGTTCGGTCATTTCTAAGAGAACTGCCATCGCATTCGTCCAAATTCCTCCTCTTAACACGCCTTCCAGAAGCTGTTGTGATCTCTACCTAAAAAGAGAAAAAATGAAATATCAATCCAGCATCTGCAAACAAGAAGTCAAGAAAATATATAGTTGTGAAAAAGCATTTACGTCTGCCTTATGTTTTTTCCTTCTTGATCTGCGTAGACCATCTTGATGAGCGTTCTCAACGTCACTGTCTTCGACACTGCACTCTGGATCACCTGAAGAATTAGAACCTAAACTTCCTTGCTCACCTCCAGAAGAATACTCCTCAGTAACATTATATTCTGAATCACTATCTTCACTTTGCACTTCATTTTCTGGTTCCCAATCCATAGCATCTATAAACTCAGGTAGTGGATCGAGCACTATATCCAGGTCCCTTATGGGAAGCATTTGGTAATCTTGTTCCAGATTGAACTCTGCCCCCACGGCGAATCTTACAGAAGACGGGGACCACTCGATACCCAGAGCTCCTAACCGCCGTTGCTGATACATGCTTTGATAAGGCTCTGGGTATGGAATGATGGCTAGCATTCGAATTCCCAATACATAAACAGCATGGCATTATCAGAGAGTAGTGTCTTAAGAACAGAAATCTTTGAGAAAGCCATAGGAAATAAGTACAAACCTGAATCACAAAGCAGATCTTGTATGTTCCTCCTATAAGGGACAAGTTGAGTTTCCTACATAAAAAAAAAAAATCAACAGTTGCCAAAGCTCTTGAATTTAAAAATTGTAATGGAAACTGTTTAAATGCAGACTTACCCAAATAGTAGGATATGGTACTGTCAAGGTTGCAGTTAAGGAAACAGGGACAAGACATTCTTATAACATATGCGTATGAAAATAACCATCAAATGTGGGGCTAGAAAAGCAGGGATGAGACATTGTTCTAATACACTGGGAAATTAACTAATATGGAGTTCGTTCAAATAATCCAGTCAGGTGATATATGCCATACTAATACCCAGAGCCAGTCTTCAAAAGACAGAAGGGAACAGCAGTCCTATACATGTCTATGTCAAGTGTAGAATACAAAATGCACATGAAATCAAAGATTGTATCAATTGAAATACGTGAATCCTATAGGACATAGTGTCTTAAAAGAATGATATTCTAGTACACCAAGTTACCAAAAAAATTCCTAGATGCTAATACAAATGACAGACCATTTAAAATAAGTTAATTAATTAATAAATGATTTGAAGTTTTTCACATGTCTATATAAAAAAGTAGAACATGAAGAAAAAGCAAACAATAAAAAAAAAAAAAAAAAAAGAGAAGGCAGGTCAACTAACCTGGTCAAGAACATTCCCATGGGTATCTTGAATAAGGGGGCGATAATCCCCAAGGAAGAACTGTTCACAGATGTACATACACCATAAGAGGTTGCAAGGTATAACAAACCAAAAACCAAACAAAGCATAACTAATTATATATGGTTTTCTAGTACCTGATCATATTTGGCATCCATTTGGGACTCCCCTTGGCCTGTGTTCAATATGTATAATTGACCAACATCATCTGAAAGTATAATTGATGTCCCATCCCTGGATCATAGATAAAAGACATTTGTATTTATATCTGCCACTGTACTGGCATAACTACAATTTTAAATTCGAGGAACTGCAGCATCACAAAATCAAAAATCCATCTGAATAAAAACACATCAGTGGGACCTATATATGTCAAGAACAAACATCAAACTATGAAATGATTAAAAAATAGAAAATTGATAGAAACAGCAAAGATTTTTGCAAGAAGACACTCACAGAGAAACAACAAATTATGAGTCATGATACATTATAAGAAATCACAATCTTGTTATTTCTTTCGAGAGTGAATATCTCCCGATAAGGATATAAAAATAGCTCCACACAAGCCAACTACTTATGGTTGCCGGAAAGAATCCTATCCACCACTCTACTCAATCAAGGGGCATAGCCGCTTTTAAATAGTGCCCTAGAACAAGATCACAAATATTCAAAAAAAATCTTGTCCATGACGGTATGACTTAAGATTATATAAACTAGTTTGTCCACATTTACAGAGCTTAGGAGTGGATGCACGAAAGATATACAATATATAATGCAAGTGCTACATGGACCACAATTTTATATAAACATAATCTATATATTTAATCTAGCCAGCCGACCCCAAGTAATTGGGAAAAAGGCTTAGTTGTTGTTGTTGTATAATCTATATATTTAACCAATACAAATAAAGTAAATAGCCATTTAAGGTAGTGTCCATAACGCATTGCCTTGAACAATGTCGGATAACCAGTTGGTGGGAACTTATCCAACAAAAAAAAAAACAGTTGGTAGGGAAAACCCCTTTGTAATGCTCAAGTTGGTACACGAAATTCACCTCTTCTTCAATAAGTTCTTCTTAAATATGGTAAAGCAAAAAATACAACCCAAAACTTATCATCTAGCGGATTTCCATGATGAAATGACTTGAGCAGTGAGACCCACTTATTGATTACCGCTACAACTTTTCTTGTGTGCCTCATCTTTGTAACTTCCATACCACCTATTATCATTTTTCTGCTATTATACATTACATATTTCTTGCCTATCCTACAACCTAAAAATTTTAGAAGGCAATTCAAAAAATATTTTCCTAGGGAATCTTGGACCTATGTCCTTTGCATAACACCTTTAGAATGATCTAGCCACGGTCATTCTTCTCAAGGGTCCACCTCAAGGCATCACCTCTTACTTTGAGTCATTGAAGAACCTTGAAAAGGTCAAAAGAAAGCAAACACAAGCTCCAGCTCCCAATCCTAGGTCGTCCAGATAGTATGTCTCTCCTCCCCAAAAAGGGAGGTTGAGAATTTGAGACCTGCTAGGGGCAATTTTGTGGGGGTGTGTGCATTTGCTTGAACTTTTGAAATGAAAAATTAAAAAATCCTAGGTTATTACCACTCTATTCTTTGTATACCTGACATAGCATGAAACAATACAAAATATTCCAAGAATAATGACTTCAAGACAATATAATTGGGGGAATATAATCCTTATGTAAGGGCCACCCTATCCAACTTTCCGGCATTAAGATACGTTTCAAGCGTGGATGATTATCTTAAGAGATTCCCAACATATCATAAGATTCCCGTTCTTGAAAATCCACTCTTTTCCAAACCCAGAAAACAGACAGAATTCTAGGATTCCTCCTTGGGGCAAATACTTTTATGCATACCTCTTCCGGTTGATCCATACCATACTCTATTCTCATAAGATGATACACACTAGCTAACAGCCCGCCTGGTGCTACATCATATGCACATTGGGAGCGTAGATAATTGTAACCATATACATATAAAATGACAGCATTGGAATGCCAATCCTCAGGCTTTATTTGTAAAATCTCTATTCCTTGGTAATCAAAGCCCAAAGATCTATGAATTAGCCCATGCTTGACTAGCCAAGCAGACAAACGACCCAGCATCTTTTTTATCTCTCCCGCATTTTTATTTGTGTAAGTAGTTCATATTGACGATGAAATTTATGAAGAGTGACCCGTTACTTGTTATTCTGTACAAATGAATCTTGTCTAATTCACTAATTCGTGGGAAGATACTGAACTTTTGTATTTGAAAAATGTTTCAGGAAGGATCTCTGAAGTAGATGGTGGTTGATAAAGTAATCCTTGATTATAATTTCCAGTATGAATACTGCGTCCAACATGAAACTTGTGATTGGTAGTAAAACACCGATTCTCCTGGTGAGACCTAATTCTATCTTCATAGATTTCTTGAGATATTTTCTTACGAAGTTTTGTTATAGCATCTATAACTGCTTCCGGTTTTGGTGGACAGCCCGGTAAATAGACATCCACAGGAATTAGCTTATCGACAATATCCCAAACCAAAAATCTTGCAAGAATCTCACTCTAAGGCTAACACGATTTACAAATATTTACTCCTATTCCTGATATACTTTTTTTTTCCGGAAGTTAATCCTATATATACTTCCACAGCCCAACCATGTAAGAACTGATAATCACCCCACCCTTCTCCACAAGCCATCAGATGCTAGAGCTAATCTCAGAACCATTTGCCTGATTAGGCAACTAAACAGTCTTCTAGTTCACTTCACCCTACAGTGGGGAACAAACTGTCTTCGAACTCACAGATGTTATAAACTCCACCCCCATACCGCTCCACAAGAAGCATCTCTGAATCTTTTCTAATCTCTCCACCACCAAAGCCAGATGGCAACATGAAGTATGTAGGCAAGCTCAAGGGAGTGCTTGACATAAGGTCTGATGCATACTAATATTTAATCTATTTGGTGCTATGTAATATGCCTTATCCTAAGAAGCACGAATATAGACACAGGACACGGACACGACACGGATACGCCAGCACATCAAATTCTAAAAAGGCAGGACACAGATACGGAGTGGAGACGTCTAATTTAAATATAAATTATTTATATACCTATTGAACGAGGCAATCAATAAATTTTTAGAACTTTTTAATGGAGTAATATGGCAATTAGAACTTTCTAATGGAGTAATGTGGCAATATCTTCACGTATGTAAAAATAAATTTAATAACTTTTAAATCCCGTACAGTTTCTTTTCCTTTCATTCCTCTTTTTATTTTGGATGAGTTATTGCCCATAAAACCTAAGAATCAAACTATCAGACAACCGAAAGTAAATGGAAGATTACAAAATAGCATATCATTAGGAATGCAAAATGGCATGAACCATTTTAGGAGAGAATTTAAATCTGAGAAACTGTATCACCAACTTACGGAGAAAACTTTCCATCAACCAACTTGAAGCGTCCAATTTCATATATCCGAATAGGTGTTCCTTCCCATATCTAATTTGGTGGGATAGAGAGAGAGAGAGAGAGAGAGAGAGAACACTCAGTGAACATGAAAATAAAGTATTAATAAACATGAAAAATAGTGAAAACTCCAAGTAGCTTTACAAATTTGGAAACTCACATCCCACACTATTGTTTTTCCATCATAACCAGCACTCATAGCTATTCGGGGGTTGAAAGGATGAACATCCAGAACATAAGTCTACAAAACATGCAAGCAATAAGGTCAGATGCAGCTAAAAACAAAGAGAATCCTGTATACTTGGTTATCTTGAAAAAGATACACCAAGTATGGTATTGTTAAAAAATTGTAGCAACAATTAAGAAATAACGACAAACAGCACCATACAGATAAAGGTGAATCAGTACAATATAGAAGGTACTTGTCACCTATTAACAGCCAGATGAAGACAGCAGAAATGATTGTAGATTGACATACTCAATCCGCCCCACAAAACTATTTAATGGAGTAATGTGGCAATCATAAAAGTTTTATTGCCACAGAAGTATCAAAAAGTTGGACCAATGGTATTGCCAGCAAAAATTGCCATTGCTAATCAAACTAAAGAAAATGCATTAACTAGTGTCTGAAAAATTGAGAGACCAAATGAAGGTGAAAAAGATATTTATAAGTTAGCAAGATGCAGAGATAGGTTGACTAGGGACATGGATCAAGTTAGATACATTAAGACTATGGATCAAAATATATTACTTAAGGAGATGTACATATTACATGGATGGAAAGAATATTGCCAGTAACTCTTAAAAGAGAAACATTCTAAAGAAGAAATTACAAGCGATGAACAAAATATGGGAATGATAAATAGAATCAATAATTAAAAAATAGAGAATGCACTTAAAAAGATGGGTGGTAATTAATAAAGCAGTGGGACCTAACAACATACCAATAGAAGCTTGGAGAACTCTAAGAAACGTATAAATTGAATGGCTAACAAATTTATTCAATAAAATTCTAAAAGAAGGAACCATGCCTAATAAATGGAGAAAAGTAAAATTGTAACAATATAAAAAAATAAAAGTGTACAAAATAGTGATAATTATTGAGGAATTAAAATTAATAAGTCATACAATGAAATTGCGGGAAAGAGTTATATAACAAAGACTAAGGAAATATGGATTTAAGCTAGGAAGATATACTATGGAGTCCATTTATTTACTTAGGCAATTGATAGAATAATGTAGAAGTAAACAAACAGATCTACAAATGGCTTTTATAAACTTAGAGAAGGTATACGATAGAGTTCCAAGGGATATCATTTGGTGGACTTTACAAAGAAAATGAATCCCTTTAAATCTTATAAATATTATCAAAGATATGTATAAGGATACAAATACTAGGGTTGTATGTAGAGAAACTAACATTTTTTCTTTTATATGGACCATACCAAGGATCAGTACTTAGATTAGAGGATTGACGATATACAAGAAGACATCCCATGGTGCACGTTGTTTGTTGATGACACAGTGTTGTTGGATACTTCTAAGGCTGGCTTGGGAACAAAATCAGAAACTTGGAGAAATTGATTGGAAACAAAAGAAACAAAAATTAGTAGACTAAAATAGAATATATGAAATGTAAATTTAATAAAGATTAGAAAGGTAATAATACAACAGTAGCAATCCAAGACCATAAGATTAATCAAAATCATCATTTTCGATATTCAGGATCAGCAGTACAAAAAAAAAAGGGAAAATAGATGATAATATTACAAGTAAGATAGGAGTAGGATGGACCAAATGGACACAGGCTAGCTGTATGGAAATGAGGATGTTGAGGTGCATGATAGGAGTGACTAGAAAAGATAAATTTACTAATCAAAGTGACGGAGAGATTAGGAATAGCGCTTATTAGTGACAAAATAAAAAAGAATAGAGTTAAGTGGTATGGCCATATAGAGCATAGACCTCCGGACAATTGGTTGGAACAGGTGGAGAAGCACATAAGGACAATGGGTAGGGGTTTACCTAGGACGGGTAGAGGATTGATTTGTATTGACTATGTGCTTATATGTTAATATATCTTACATGTTGGAAGCATGCTTACTTGCCTACTTGTTATATGTTTAAAGTTTTGAAGTACATGTTATATATGCTCAAGTATGCACTGTGTTTATGATGTGAACTTCATGAGAGGTGTTGAAGCATAGTGTTTATGTTTCCCGTCGAGTGAGTAGTGTGGCTACCCTAGGTACACGGAATGGGGTTAGCTAATGTTTTATTGTTATTAATCCTGAAGTGCTCGTAAGAAAGGGAACATTAGTTTACATCGAAGGTAAGAGTCAGCAAAGGCAACCAAAACTAAAATGAAATGAAGTAATTAAAAATGACTTCAAAAAATTAAATATAAGAAGTGACATGAAGTATAATATAATAGAATGGAAAAGAGACATGTGGCTGACCCCATTCATGTTAGAAAATGGCAAGGACGATGATGATTGTTATGACGAGAGCAGCAAACCAAGAACAAAACAAGAATCATGATAGAAAAAGTAAACACGCCACACAGAGAGCACAAAGTTTTACATGGCTCGGCACACATTGTGCCTACGTCCACGGTGAAGATCCGGCGAAAGATTTCACTATGTGAAAATTAGGAGATTCAAGTTTCACCCCAAAACCCTAGCTTTCGCTCTCACTCTCTTTCTGGCGATTTTCAGTGTTCCCTCATTGTCCCACTCCATACCCTAAGCACCCTTGTATACTGAGCTACAAGAAAGTACTAAACAAGGTCCATGACCCGCAAGGGAAAACTGGCCAAATTTTTTTTTAACGTCACAATGATGAATCACAAAAACCAAATGGATCTTGTCAACAAGTTATAATGAGTTGAGTACCAATTAAAGTTGTCAGATAGAAAAGTGGACAAGAAAATTATAAGGCGGCCATTTTGGTAAACAATTTCTGATTCTAATGACTTGGGCGACTTATTAGCAACTAAAGAAGGTTAATTGACAACTCTAAGAAAGATGGAAATTGTGACAACTATAAAAATAACAAGCATTACCATAGAAACTGATACAAAATGTAAAGGACCATCCACCGGATATTTGTCAGTCTCGACAGAAATAACCACAGAATAGTGAACTAAAGTTAAGCAAGACATACTCAAGATGTCAAGTCATCATATCTTGTAAAAAAACGACTACACAATAAAACAAAACATCTTCTCTCATCCTTTCTAGGAAAATTAAATAGAAACAGTAGAAAATATTGAACATTTCAACCACTTACAGATGCACTATGACCCGTCAAAGAATGTACCAGGCTACCATCAACAGCATTCCAGACACATATTCTGCAATCTGAGCAAATGAAAAGAAAAGAAAAGAAAAAAGGGTCACATTGCAACATTTATAAAAGAACCAAACTTAGGTTCTCAAACACAAGTTCCAGAAAACGTACTGTGTAAAAAATATATATTTATGTACATAAATTTTAGCATATACAAATATAAAATCTGCAAACATTTTGTCCAGGGCCTATACATGCAGAAAGAGGAAAGGGTAACCTGAGAAAAATACTGAAATGTAATTAAACAGTGAATGCAATGTTACCCCATTACCTGTCAGATAATTGTTAGAATGTAATTATGTATATTTGGGGGTATTTTGTAATTCTCTATAATATGTGAGGCCAGTGTGTAAATAGGTGATTCTTCCTCTTGTATATAAGCTCCTTATGTATTAGGGCTTGAGACAGATAATGAAAAACATTTTTGTAGCCTCCATCGCTCTCTCTCTCTCTCTCTCTCTCTCTCTCTCTCTCTCTCTCTCTCTCTCTCTCTCTCTCTCTCTCTCTCTTCCTCCTCAGTTTCTATATGGTATCAGAGGACAAAGAAGTGAGCAATGATTCGACCATTGTTGTTGCCACCGAACTAGCTTGTGGGTGTGATTACTTGGAGAGTCGCAGAGGCTACAGAGTTCCCATCTGCGAATTCGCTTGGAGAGTTACAGAGCTCCCATTCGTGAAGATTCATCGGTTCTTTCACCGGATTTTCTTAGGACTCACTTTTTCCTCTTTCTGTGTGTTGATTGCTGGGTGGTTGTGTTCTTGTTGTCGCGAGTGTGTCATCGTCAGCCAAGTCACGATCGCGACCAACCTTTTATTCTTCTTTATAGATTGATTTGTAGTCGGTGGTCGATTTGCAGTCTTTGCCGTCACCTGTAGAGTTGCAGAATTGGTCCCGGCGTCATCGGCAACGTTTGGGAGGAAGAACAGCTCTATTTGGCTACAGGAGTAAGCTAGCCCAAACCAGTTCTACTGGAACCTGCTTTCTTCAGTTACCCGATATTCAACCCAGCTTTCCAAATCTTCATCGTGTCACGACCTAATTCTCTACTATCGGCGGAGTTCCTTGCTTTCGTCGCCCTGTGTTGTGTCACCATCTTCATCACAGATCGTCATCTTGGTTCATACATCAGTGAAGGTGTTGCTAGCTTCACGAGACTCGGTTCGTAGGTCAGGTTGCCGTTTTCCTTTCTGGCGAAGTTGCAGAGTTCGGTAAAGAAGAAGTAATTGTGGGGTGTTTGGCTACTGGTCTGTGTTGTCTCAAACCAGTTTAGCCTATCCTGACCGAGCGTACACCTACACCGAATATAAATTCGACCCGGTGGCCCAAATTTGACCCAAATACAGATTCGGCCCGAATACCCGAATACATATTCGCCCAATCTTTTTCAGGTCTGCTAATTATTTTTGTGTCAGCTTCTATTCTTCTCTTCTGGGTTACTGATTCGGTATGGCCACCAGTTCAGACTTGCTTTCTTCCTCTGCTTCCTTCAATCCTCCCATGACTTTAGCAAAGCTCAATGGCAAGGATTACGTATTATGGCCAAGTCAGTAGCAATTAGCAATTTTCCTGAAAGCCAAAGGCTTCAGCACTCATTTGGACAAGGATAAACCTAAAGACTGTGATGTTGATTTCAATTCATGGGAACAAAGGGATGCTCAGATTATTTCTTTAATGTTGAATTGTATTGAACCCAATATTAGCTCCAACTTATTGTATTTGGACACTGCCAAGGAGATATGGAACCGTCTCCAACAGTTATATTCGGGTACTGGTAATATCACCAAAATTTATGAGGTGTGCAGACAATACTTTGACCTTAAGCGGGGTACTCAAAATCTAGAAGAATACTTCTCACGAGCAATGGGAATTTGTGAAGAAATGAACTTGTATCAGCCCATCACCTCTGATGTGAAGAGTATGAAACAACAACGTGAGGATTTTAATGTTATTCGTGTTCTTACAGGAGAGTATGAACCCGTTCGAGCACAGATTTTGGGTAGCTCTACACTTCCCTCTCTTCCTGATATGTTTTCCAGACTCCAGCGTACTACTCTATCTAGTGGCGCTTCAGGGGGTGCTTCAAGTGATGTCACTGCTCCTCCTAGCAGTGAACATTCTGCATTAATTGTCTCCCAAGGTGGCTTTCATTCTTCTCGTGGAGGTGGCGGTTGTTTTACCTGTGGTCATGGTCGTGGCCGTGGATGTGGATGTCATCATGGCAAAGGTAGAGACTCGAGACTCTGTACTCACTGCGGTCTTACTAATCATATTGTCAATTACTGTTGGGCTTTTCATAGGAAACCGATACCTTCTACCTTTGCACATCAAGTGACCTCTATTGAAGGGGATTCTTCTTTATCTGCCACACCAACTGCTTCACACTTGGTTGTTGAGCCTTCCATGGTCACGATTCCCCGCGATGAGTATGCTCAGCTTATGTCCCAACAACGGACTTCCACCTCATCTTCAATGGTTTCCTTTGCCCAAACAGGTAGTGTACCTGCATGTCTCTTGTCCTCTCGTCAGAGTCCCTGGATTCTTGACTTTAGAGCATCCGATCACATGACTGGTAGTTCTCATCTCTTATCTGATTTTCATTCTGCTCCTTTATCTCAAAGTGTTACTCTTGCTAATGGCTCATCAACTAAAGTTTCGGGTTTATGAACCACTAATCTCACCTCTTCTATGTCCCTCTCCTTTGTATTATATGTTCCTCAATTTCCTTTTAATTTGACGTCTATTAGTAAAATTACTAAATCTCTTCATTACTCCGTTACATTTTATCCCACATGTTGTATTTTTCAGGATCTCACGACGAAGAAGAAGATTGGTATGCCACATAAAGTAGGTGGCTTATATTACTTTGATTTTAAACCATCTCTCACGGCTCTTCAATCATCTTTGTCTTCTTTCCAGTGGCATTGTCGTCTCGGCCACCCATCATTATTAATTTTGCAACGTCAAGTCCCCGGTCTTAGTCGTGTTGAGTCCATGTCTTGTGAAGCATGTCAGCTTAGTAAGCATTGTCGTGTGTCCTTCAAACCTTAAGTTAATAATCGTGTCGCTAGTCCTTTCCAGTTAGTTCATTCAGATGTATGGGAACCAATCAAACATATTTCTATTAATGGATTTCGTTATTTTGTGACATTTGTTGACGATCATTCTCATATGACTTGGTTGTTTTTAATGAAAAATCGTTCCGAGTTATTTTCTATTTTTCAAATATTCCGGAAAGAAATTAAAACTCAATTTGGGTGTTCCATTAAAGTTTTACGTTCTGACAATCCCAAAGAATATTTCTCAGACCCTATTGAGACTTATTTTCATGCCAAATGCATCATTCATCAATCGTCTTGCACTATACTCCACAACAAAATGGAGTAGTTGAACGTAAAAATCGTTATCTCTTGGAAGTGTGTCGTGCCTTTTTATTCCATATGCATGTTCCCAAACGATTTTGGAGTGATGCTGTTCTTATGGCCTGTCATCTTATTAATTGGATGCCCTCGTCGGTGTTACAAGGGAATCTCCTCATTCTATCCTATTTCCCAGTTCAGCGTCGTTTAATCTTCCTCCTCGAATCTTTGGTTGTGTTTGTTATGTCCATAACCTTGGACCCGGTCTTGACAAACTCGACTCTCGTGCCACTAAGTGTGTTTTTCTTAGGTATTCTCGCACTCAAATCGTTGCTACAGTCCTCATTTTCAACAATATTTCACTAATGCCGATGTCACCTTTTCCAAGTATATCCCATATTTTTAATTCTAGTCCTCCTCTTGATATTACTCCTGACCCACCTTTGCCAACTCTTCCCTCTCTATTCCCTACTCCCGATCCTCCACGCTCCGTCATCCCATTGCACGTTTATACTTGGCGACCCCGACCGCCTACTTCGCTCCCTCCACCTCCTTTGGAGTCGTTGGATCCGACACAATCTACTATGCCTGATGATTTGCCTATTGCTCTCCGTAAGGGTTCTCGGTCGTGTGTTACTGCATATCCCATTTCTAACTCTATCTCTTACAGTAATGTTTCATCGTCTTTATCATGTTTTTTTATCCCAAGTGTCTACTACCTTTGTTCCCAAGGCTCTGCAGGATGCTCTCTAATTAAGATTGGCGCCAAGCCATGGTAGATGAAATGGTCCAAATGGATGGCCTTCGCCGTAATCAAACATGGGATCTTGTTCCCTTACCTCCGGGCTCCAAAACGGCTGGTTGTAAGTGGGTCTACACTGTTAAATACCTTCATTATGGGTTTATTGAGTGGTTGAAAGCTCGTCTTGTGGCGAAAGGGTACACTCAAACCTATGGTATTGATTATGATGAGACATTTTCTCCTGTTGCTAAGATCTCTTCTAATAGAGTCCCCATCTCCATTGCTGCCAATTGTAACTGGCCGTTATTTCAATTAGATGTGAAAAATGCCTTCTTACATGGTGACTGAACTGAAGAAGTTTATATGAAGCAACCACCTGGGTTTGTTGCTCATTGCTTAGGGAGAGTATCGCCATACTGTTGGTCGCCTTAGGAAGGCGCTGTATGGGCTGAAACAATCTCCGAGGGCTTGGTTCGGAAAATTCTCTGAGGCAACATTAGCATTTAGTCTTAACAGATGCCAGACAAATCACTCGGTATTTCACCAGCACACCAAAGCTGGTTTCATTCTTCTTGTGGTGTATGTGGATGATATTGTGATTACAAGGCAATGGCTCATACCACTACTAAGTTGACTTCGATACAACATTTTCTGGAGGAACTTGGGTTGACAGTCAAATCCCCTATTCCATTATTCTGTGATAACCAAGTAGCCATTCACATTGCATCCAATCCTGTGTTCCATGAGAGGACCGAGCATATTGAAGTTGATTGTCACTTCATTCGAGAGAAGAGACTGACTGGGAATATCACTACTCCATTTGTGAAGTCTAAAGACCAACTAGCTGATACGTTTACTAAAGCTCTAGGTCATCACAGGTTGAAGATTATTTGTTCCAAGCTAGGATTATATGATATATATTCTCTAGCTTGAGGGGGAGTGTTAGAATGTAATTATGTATATTTGGGGGTATTCTGTAATTCTCTATAATATGTGAGGCAAGTGTGTAAATAGGTAATTTTTCCTCTTATATATAAGATCCTTATGTATTAGGGCTCAAGACAGATAATGAAAAACATTTTTGTAGCCTCCATCGTTCTCTCTCTCTCTCTCTCTCTCTCTCTCTCTTCCTCTTCAGTTTCCACAATAATAAAACGTAATTAAACAGTAAAGGCACTATAATTGAAAAGGTTGTCTACTCGCTGGCCATTCTCCTCCTACTAGAGCTAAAAATCTTAGGTTATAGATTTACGAAGTCATGGTCCTAATTATCAACGCTACCTTTGCAGGACAACACCAAAACACAATCCTTCTTAAAAGTACCAGAAGTCGTTCGTGGTGGCATGCATTGTTGAATCTCTCTCTCTCTCTCTCTCTCTCTCATCAACTAGACGATTTTATTTTTTTCCCCCAAAATTTTCATCAACTAGACAGACAGATGGGATACGATTTTATTTCCCTTTCAACAAAAACCAGAATAGCTTATCAGGTCAATATAATGTAAGGAGGTTCACCAACAAAATACAACTAAGAACAAGGTCAATGTTGGTACTTTAAAAAATAGCCTTCTGTAGAGCCACCACAGTTTCCTACTTATGTCAAATGGATATAACTTGTTGATAGGACAAGAAGATCACTGCTTGATTAAAAAAGAAGCAAAGATGCTTGAGCCAAAGATGGTCTTCCAGGCTTAAAACAATACAAATTCGAACTCTAAAACACCCCAAAGTAAAACCAAAAGAGTCCATATTTTCTGACGGGGGGTAGCAAAAGTCATCTTACATTCAAAGACGTGAGTTTTTCTCAAAACGAAAAATGAACCACATTAGGGCAATCATACAAAATTTCCATACAACGACCAATGATGCTCTGGAATCTCGAAAAGGAGAAGTTACAAGGGTCGAGACATCGATGAAAAATAAGTGTTTTCAAATGGCTTGGACATACTTGCAACATAAAACGAAATAACATAAATTTAGTGTTTCATCCAAATGAAACAAACATACATTTTGACTGCTAGAATTGTTGTATGTGAGTACTGATTGTTGCACTTCCATCTTAAGTATCATGATCGTCCAACAAGGAGGGTTTCTAATTTTTCAAATGAACGATTTGAAGACCTATTAATTCTAAAAACTGATTGCAGAGTTGATCATTCGGACCTTACAATTAATTGATGTAGATCTCAGGCCTATGAATGGGGATATTCCCGAATCTCACAAAGAAAAAGGGGGTGAGTTAGACAAAAAGAAAAGCAACTTGGACCAAAAAAAAATTGACTTGGACAAAAAGAAGCAAAGTGGCTTTGACAAATCTTTTTTGACAATAACCTCATACCAATCAATCGAATATTGATTAGTACATAATTGATCGATCACTACTTGAAAACAGCTCTTCTGCTCAGATTCGAAATGTTCCAATTGTTCTGGAAATTCTCGCTCCCATTGGACCATTTGTATCCATACTTAGCCCATTTACTAACCAGTTAGCTTGTTTCTGGCCTGCAATTCCACTTGTTAAATTACTATACATTTTCTTTTTGGCCCATGCTGATATATTCATTTTAGTCACCTTATAAATTTTCATAGTGCTGCAATCCATAAATACTTTACCCTGAGCATTAGGTTTATAGATGCAGTCTGAAGGTTGACGGTTCAAGAAAAAGATTCAGAATAGAAGTATTAACAAATTTACAAGATGTAAATGCTTTCTAGCATGAAAGATTGTAGGCACACTTAAATGTTAGTAATAAATCAAACTACAATCACATCTTCAAATGTTCTTTTGTTAAGAACAAAAAATTATTAAAGAAACCAACACCCCCTGACATTTGACAATATCTCACTTACACCCCCTCTAGGTTTCAATATTCCACCTACTTCCCTTGAGGTTTTGGTTTGCGTAGCAAATTACCCCCTGCTGTTAAGCAACTGACGGTGTGTGCTGATTTCAGCATGATAAAATTGTAAGAAGGTCAATTTTGCCCTTCTAATGCCTAAAATGACATCTTTAACCTCATTGACCAATACACAACAAAACTACCTTCAACTTATTAACTTAAATGTACAATACCACCCTTCCCTTCTTTGTCAAACCTGTCCATGCCTCCACTCTTGGTGATGGTTTAATTGCATCAATTTATTTTTGTTAATTGTTTTAATTGGTATCGTTATCATCATCATTATCTATGTCATAAGCAAAGGATGGATTGCCACTCATGTGCACTTGTCTTCTGGTTGTTGAACCATGACGCTGTTGCCAATTATTTGGATTTATGTAATGTTCTTGTTTGAGGCCTTACAAACCCTCTCTTTTTTTCATTTTTTTTTTTTCTGACAGTGGACACCAACAATGCCTTCTCTTTTTTTCTGACGGTGGACGCCATAAATGGTGGACAGAACCACCATCTCTAGTGACAGGAGGAAGAGGCAGTTTCTTTCCGGTCACTGAAATCCCAAAATATTCCTGCAATTTGACGGCAGCATCCATGTTCATGAGAAATGCGGTAGCCTGTCGATATTTGTGTCACCGCGTCCACTGTCAGCGCAATCATCATCAGAGACGCCGGCGGAGACAGTGAGTATCCACCGACAGCGCAATCGCCATTTTGGACCTTCCGTTTCACTGGACGATTCAGTCGCCTCACCGCCGTCCTCCACATCGTCACCGACCAACTCTGGCCAACACCCACCAAGCACCGTCTCCATACTCCTCTGCCACAGCGAATTAAAGCTCATCCCCAATCGCCAAAGTTCATATAACCCATCTCTGCAATTTCACACATCAAAAAAAGGGAAACCCATTTCGATGGTGTTGGCGACAGATGAATGCTCGGAGGTCAGCAATGACAAATTCGCTGTTCCGTATGGGAACAGTTGAAGGCAATTTAGTGAAAAGAGCTTTGGCAGCTCTGATTCAATCTTCGCCGGAGATGTAACTGCTACAAGAAAATCCTCGCCGGAGACAGAAATCACAGTTGTCGCAACCTGAACCCACAGTTGTCATCCGCCTTGAGGTCAAGGGGCCGAACTGAACCCACAGTTTTCATGACCTACCGATCTGGGCATGCAAGAGCTTTTCTTCCATGGCCACATCAGAGATTTACTTATATAGTGTGTCATGTGTATATATTTGTTTGTGTATATAGATTATAGAGACAGAAATAGAGAGTATCAATAAGGGTGTTTTTGTCTTTTTGATTCAACTCTAAATTTTTATAAAAATATTAATATATAATTGATGGGCAAAATTGTAAACTCACACATGTCTATTAGTAAAGTAAACAGCTGTCACAAAGAGGGGAGGTAGGTGGAATATCGAAACGTAGAAGGGGTGTAAGTGGAATATTGCCAAACGTCAGGGGGTGTAAGTGGAATTAACCCTACAAAAAACTAGGTCAAAACACATTTATATATGAAAGCTATGGGAGATCCAAGACACTTGAAATTAAGGAGTACCGAAATATGAGAACCAACATATATATACGTTTGAAATGCACCATATATATTCAGGGAAAAAATGTACCATATATTTTGGAAGGAAACTTCTCTTTATGTCAATACACATTTTTACAGAAAGTTGTATGTATATGTGTATAACATAAAGCAACTTACCCATGATAGCAGCAAGGACAAAGCGGTTGTCTAGGCTCCATACAATCATATTAACACCCCGAGGAGTTGGAAGAATTCTTTGCCGTGGACCTCCTCTTGGAGGTTGAGGTGGCATTGGTGGCGGTGGAACTTTCAGATGATATGCTCGTGTCCAACGTCCAACCTTTCCCTTAAAGAAGGAAAGGACAACTATTTTAGTTGAAAAAGGAGAAATCGAGTTTAATGAAATTCACTTAACTTTATCGTGTGCATACAAAAAATTACAAGAACAATACAAAAATGACAGAGAAAGAGGATATGGAAGAAGAGCTCACATGCGATCTACGTGACCTTGGAATCCAAATGATTGCACTGCCATCGCGAGAACAGGTAACTATATTGTCATGAGTAAACCTGAAACAGCAGAGAGTACATCAAAGTGCCCCGATTGAGTACAAAGCAACTAAAGAAAATCAATTAGATTTCTACACAAGTACCAATTAAGAAGAGATAGAACATGTATCGTCTAACTTGAGTTGGGAAAAGCACAAACTCACCACGTATTTTTGAACTTTGGAATATTCTCTTCCTTCGAGGTGTCAGCCATAGAAAATCTAGCTGCCACAGCACAGCCACTGCATCATGAAGCAACAACATTTATTAGCATGCAATACTGAATACTGGTCGAGACAGATGGGACAGACTGACCTGAATTGCACATAATTGACATCATTTTCATGCCCAGCTAGAACATCCATCTCGTGATTTGGTTGCTGTGCGTCATCTGCGTTCGATCTACAAGCACTCCACACCTGCAAGTAACTAGCTCTCTATCAGGATAAAAAAAAAACATCTGAATATATGGTTAAATTTCTCTCTGAAATCTAATACAATCCAATTAAAAAAAATAACTGACTGCCAAATATATATATATATATATATATATAATATCACTATTTTAAATAAGACAAAAAACAGGATGAAGGTGTTGGAAACAGTATGCATAAATAGATTAGTTTAAGAACATATAATCAGATGTACCCTTGCAAGAGTGTCTGAGCTACCAGTGACAAAGACTGTTCCATTAGCATTAAATGCACAACAAAAAATTTGATGGCTCTGCTGAGCAGTACTTGAAGATGGACCATTGTTCTTTCCTGCAGGCATTTCACAATTCCTAAATAAACTCATTTCACCCATGAAAACACGTCAATCAAAAATGAATTAACATAAAAGTAGCGACCAACCAGCTATGGAATCAGGAGGTCTTGGAACATATATACGTGGACTGATATGGGAGTACCTAGCATCCCATATCCTACATGTCCCATCATCAGATGACCTATAAATAATACATTAAAACTGCAAAGTAAATTAAGAAGCAAAAGGCATATAAAAGTAAAGACGACGGTCATTAAGTATGTTAGAAAATGAAGATCTGAACTGATCAAATATGCATCTAAATAGATAATTATACAACCAAAAATTAAATAATAAATAAATAAATAAAACAGACAGCTTAATCACAGAATATAAATAAGGGTAAAATAAAAAAACCCTGAATTGTTGTTTCCTTTTGTGAAAAATCCCCCTGAACTACTGAGAATGAAATTTTACACTTAAGGTCATACCTGTCAGCTGCCGCCGTTAACAGACTAGTTAAAAGACAATTTTACCCCTAATCAAAACGATGCTATTTCGGCAATTATCCACTTAAGTGGATGATGTGGAAGTAAGAAATCTCAACAACCAATCAGAACACAACTCACCTAACCTCATCTCTTTATTTTCAGCACCAACATTACACACACACATATATAAAATATAAATTATTCTTCTTCTTCCCCCACAACCATCAAGACCACCCTCTCTCAGTGTCTCCACCTCCATCACCTCTCCACCAGCACCCTTCTCTCTCTCTCTCTCTCTCTCTCTCTCTTACACGTTTCTCTTGGCCTTTATAACAACCATCTGCCGCACCACTGCCCCAACAAATTCTCCATCTCTCTCTCCAATCCACCTCCCTCTCTTTTTATTCCCGATCCACCTCAACTCTGGTGCCAACAACAAATTGAAGAGAAGAGGAGGAAATTGTAAGGTCAATTAGACGGGAAGAGAGTTTTAATAAAAAAATAAAAATAAAAATAAAAATAAAAAACTGATTTGGTGAATTATGGGTCTGATTCATTCTGAATCGGTATAATAGTTCAGGTTTTCTTTTTTTTCTTTTTTTCATTTTAACCTAGAATGATAATAAAGAGGACTCATTGACAACTTATTAAAAAAGAAAGTATATACGGAATAATATTTTTACTATAAATTTAAAAAAATAATAATAATTCTGCAATACAAATTAAAAGTTGCATTGAATCATTTGGACCAATGTTAAGGTTGAATGCCCATAAATTTAGCATCTTATGGACTAACAAACATATAAATTGGAACTTAAAAGCCCAGACCAACTATAATTTTCATCTAATGTTAATTGTTATTAAGATGTCATTCGAAGGGTATAACACAAGACCCATACTTTTAATTCTGTCTATGTGGACAAGAACTCCAGAGAGGGAAAAAAACAAATTGGAATATCATTACAAATTTAGTAACAATTATGATTTTTTGCCTGATGGGATACAACCGTACTTCAAAATCATCTTCAACCAATATGTTTGCAAATTTATCTAGCAAAACAGAATAACCCTTTCACTGTACCAGAAGATCTAAATGCTTGCAGACAGAAGAGAAAATATTTTAATACACACAAGCTTACTATATCTTGAAAAATATATATATATATATCTTCTCCATTCTAACTGCATCTACTTTGCTATAAAGTGCCCCCAGAAAAGGATTCAATTCTTCACATCAATAACAAGACAGATTCATAAAACAAAACAATTCCACAACAAACCAAAATATCTATATAAGGTCAACAGACTCTGAAAGAAAAAACAAAATGAGTCAGCCTTACGATAAAAGTTGGTATGCAGAGCCTGGTCTAGGACTAAACGCAATGGCAGTAACAGCTTTTGTATGCCCACGCAAAACTGAAATCGGCAGACCATCAGGTAACCGCCACTGTCATAAACCATCAAGAGAAGCGTACAGTCAATAAGCATCAGAGCAAAACATCTGACAATTCAATTAGGAAGAGATCTTACAACTCGAATGATACAGTCATTTGAAGCAGAAGCCACTAAAGCGTTGTTGGAAGTCACAGCTAAGTCAGTAATGTCACCCTTCAAGTGTACAAGGTGATAAGAAGACAATTGGATTAAAAGAAAGAAAGAAACAGCAACAGATGGACGCGTATATGATGGCCAAATTTTACTCACTTCATGTCCACGACAGCTAGCCAAGCAATATGCGGTTTCCATTGACCAGATCTTTACAAGGCGATCATCAGAACCAGTAATAACATATCTTCCTGATCGATCAAATATAGCTGCATACAATCAAAATTTAAAATAGTTCAATGACATCAATCTCTAAACACAGATGTTGAGAAATGGAGGACAGGAATTGAGATCAATAATTGGGGGGGAAAAATGCACAGGGTGAGCTAAATGCATGACAAACAAGCATTGAGTAGAAAAGCACCAAACAAGATGATACAACCTTCACCTAACCATATTCTTTTTTTATGGAAGCATGGAGACAGGTACACAGCTTTCAGATATAATTACGGATTTAATATTAACCCGCACAACACACAAAATATAAAGCCAATACAATCATGGATGTCATGGCACCAGGGGATAAGAAGTAACTAAAATGGTTCATCGGCCAACTGAACTTCCTTAGGCCTTTCATTTCCAATTGCGCCAGGACGGGATTGCCTAAGAATCATTCATTTAAGCCTATCGACGTCAAGGGATAAAAAAGAATGGCAAGTTGACTAAAATATGATTTTATCGAACTGGAGGTACAATTGGAAACAAAAAAACAAAAGAGTTAAATTTGGTTCTTCTAGTCCAATTAGACTAGTGATCCCTTAATTTACAGCAATAAAAGGAAAATATATTAGACCATGAATGGGACATATGAACAGAAGGCAAGGTCAAAGTGTGAATTGTGAAATTCGACCAAAAAGCAAAAGGCATACTCCCCAAAAAAAGGAAGGAAAAAAAATACAAGTTTTTGAATCTGGATGTTCTTAGGCATTCTTAAGCAGTTCCCACGAAGAAATGTAAAATTTCATTTTTCAAAAAAACATAAAAATAAAATAAAAAGAATATGGAACCAAAATAAAATTCTAGATGCGCTTAGACATTCTTAAGCAGTTCCCACAAAGGAAGGTCAAATTTCATGTAGAACCAAGATAGGAAGCGAAATTCTTCTTATATTACTTCTTGTTATTTATTTATTTTTTGTTTTTGATAAGTTGTTGGAAACATCACCTTCCCTTGGACATTTCTGGTAGTATGAAAGCTATATGTGAACAAAGAATCTAAAATAACCAAGGTAATAAAGAAAAGCAGTTTAGTAGTAGATTACCTTTCCTGCTATGATTTCTAGCAATCATATTACAAAATTGACCAAGAAGTTGACTTCAACTTAAACAGGGATTGCAGTGCAGGGAAATCTTACCACAATAGACAGCATCCCGGTGTCCCCTAAGCTTCTTAATGTTTTGCATCTTCTGCACCATAGTAGATGGTTTTGCAATAGCATAGCATGCTGCGCGGATAGATGGTGCACGATGGTGCCTTGCGAAGCCACCACCAATTTCCCTCAAACTTAATCCACGCACCTGATCAGCTTGCATATGAGGCCAACGCATGTAAGAAGGTGGAGGTTTGACTTCATTATTGTTCTTATTTTGATCATCTGGATGGGAAGAAAGGAGAGAAAGCAGGGATGGAGGGAAAGAGAACATATCAAAGGTAGAAGAATGTGGAAGAAATAATAATAACAAGATTGGACACTGGAAACTCTCTTTATCACTCTAAAAGAACAGTAGAAACATAAAACGGTATATAAATATTGTTGCATAAATCGAATAAAAACAGTTCTATTGAGTCCTTTCAATCATTTCTTTATTTTTCTCCTCTCTATATGGGCAGTTCTTATTTTGTCAGTCACCATCAAAAATTTACTATACCGGCATCAGAGGTATTACATGTCAATATAAGCATAGCTCAAAAGTCAATATATTATTAAAAAAATTGTCACATACAGCCCAGAAGAGAAAATGACCCAGTTCCCAAAAGAGTAGGAACTGCAGCAGCATTTAAAGCATCCCCACCAACCAAGCTTTGTGACGGAGCAGCCGCACTCAGTATCAGTTGCTTCAGAAGCTTTACCACATGATCCTTTTCAATGTGAGGATACCTATAAATATATAAATGAAAACAGTAATCAATCAAATATATTTCTTACAAAAATAAAACGAAGTTAACTCGAGTAATCCTGGACTTTTATATAATAAATTCAGCTTTGTTCAAGGCAATATCTTCTGCTAATTTATGATGAAAAGTGAAACCGATCCCAATCATTACTCATGTCCTTAGTTTTGATGATTAGTTAGTACAGTAAAAAACTAAAAGAACAGCAATGCAACACCCGTCAAAAACATATATGATCCTAAGAAATACATAAAGCATATTAAATACCTCTCTACCAACTTATTGTAACTTAATGGGAAAGACAGGCCATCATCATTTTCGTCCCCGCTATGTCTCCCACTCCTGGAATACCAAGCATGATATCTTCTAGGTAAAAGTTGGTGTTCAAGAAGTTCATTCCAAAACTGTCCATAAGTCCTGTGACATGGCCCGGCAGATAGGAAATGCATAATCAGAAAATAAACCTCTCTCAGATCAATATCCACATCAGCCTCTGTAGGACTCATCTCTGGATCTGCAAGTTGACCTTTCTCAATTGCCTTATTAGAAAAACTCAACATTTTCATATTGACAGAAGGAGCATCACCAGAGGGAAAATATTTCTGAAGAGCCATATTTCCTGAAAGAGTGAAAAAATACTTGCATCAAGAAACATAACATGGCCAACTGAATTTTACAGAAATTCAATCATCGTTGCACAAAATTTTGATTTGAAAAATTAAATATAAAGCATGCCATAGAAAAGGTGTTCATATCCAAAAGGTAATAGATATCCAGGATATATGGCAGCATATGCAGCAACATAAGGAAGCTTATGTGGCAGAATTGGTTTGTTTAAACAAGAACGCTCAAGAATATAACAAGTGGTGGTTATTGGTTGTTAAATGAAAGTTGTTTGAATGACTCTTGCCGTTATAGGACTACTCTAAGTAGTTTCTCACAATGTGGCACGTACTTGTTAGTCGTCAACATGCAACTCTATCCATGTGTGTCTGTGTTATAAATGTAAAAACTCAATCATTTAAACATGGAAAATTATTGTACTTTTAATCTTAGGCAATTAAAGTTTTTGATAAGTAATCTTAGGCAATGAAATTGGTCGTATAGTAATCCTCTTCAACCTAAGAAGGAAGACGTATCATGTATTCAATGCCTAAGAAGCATGGATACGGATACGGATACGGATACGGATACAGGACACGGCTACGGATACAGATATACGACACGGATACGACATGACACGGACATGGCGACACAGCAAATCAAAACAATTAGGATACAAACAGGATGGGGATATGGCAAATTATAAATATATCATTTTTATATATGTGATAATATATTATAAGACGAATATTACCAATGGGTCATTAGCCCAATAGTATAACCTCCCTATCCTCAAAGAGGAGGGGAGGGGTTCGAGCCTTGGCGTGGGCAATGTGCATGTGAGTACTTACCTGATAAAAAAATATTATAAGACTAATATTACTTTTCATCAAATTAAGAATAAAAAATCCCATCTCACAATAATTAATGAATTACAACAACAATTCTCTCATTTAAGAAGAGAGAGGGAGAGAGAGAGGAGAGAGAATGGACAGTATAATTTCTAAACTTCCTTTACAAAATATTACAATTGCATAAAGAATGGGGTAAAAAAAAAAAAAAAAGAGAGAGAGAGAGAGAGAGAGAATTGAATCAAGTAGAATTTCTAAACTCTTTCAAAAATTAAGGTTTTATTGAAAAAAAAGGGAAGAGAATTCTATTAGGAGAGAGAGAGAATCAGTTAAAGAAAGAATAAATAAGGAAACTAAGGTGTTATTGAGGAAAACAAATAGCTTTTTGTTGATAATAAAAGACAGAGAACTAGTAAAGGAACAAAGAGGTTTGTGATAGGAAGAAGATCACAAAAACAAAAGAAAAAAAAGGATAGAGAGCAAATAATTTACCATTTTCTCTTCATAATCTTTTACAATTTCAAACAAGTAATAACTATGAAAGATCAAGTTAATAAAATTGTTTAATAAATAACATGTAAAAAACTCTCTATTTTCTATAGATTGACCTCCATATTATTGAAACTTTTCAAAATTTTCATATACTTTATATTTTAACCCATCTTTTTCGAAAAACATTTAAAAATCCTATTTTACTCAGACACGTGTCCGTGACTTTCCCTGGCGTGTGCCGCGTGTGCAAAAGAAAAAATATTCAGACACGTTTTTTTGGCATATCCGAAATCCCACACCAGCCCAGTCTCGGACCTGGTCATAACTTTGATCAATGACTACAATTAGCATGTCTCAATCATGGTTCTTAAAATCTCAATCCGGATGTTATAAACCTACAATCATGATCTAAGAAAACAGAATAGATCTCGATCCCACAAGAATCCCTAGAGGAAAGAACTATTTTGAAATCCCTATAGGATTGTTGAAGTCATGGAATCCCCACTCAATTCCCAATCCTCTGGATCGTATAGTACAACTTTAGATTGTTATTCTTATACTCCTTTTTAACCAAATAATATTGTCCACTTATATGTCCTAATTGATTCAATTATGTTAAAGATTTTCTTGTCATTGTGTCTCTACAATAATTCTTCAAGTCTTCATTCTTTTTTTTTTTTCTCATAAGTACTTCAAGTCTTCTTTTAACTATACAACTTCTTGAAGGAAACAAAAAACAAAAAATCAAAAAAAAACAATTTTAGTAACTGATCTAGGCAGAACGATTTTAGTAACCCATTAAGGCTATTTAACTCCTCAAGTATAAGTTTGACAATGTCACCTCTCTCTTTTTTTATTTTCTTCCTTTGGTTGGCTATTTTGCTCTGATATGTAACAAAAAAGTCAAGAAAAAAAAAAAAAAATTCCTTCAAAAACATTACTTGTTTTTTTTTGATAAGTAAGAAAATTTTATAAAAGCGCTCAAAAAGGGAGCGAAGCCCTGAAGATTGATATACACAAAGCCACCAATGACCTTTAAGCCTTCAAAGAGGCCAAAAAATCAACAATTTCCTCTAAAGATCAATGATCTCTCTCAGAAACCCAACAAAAAAGGGTGGAAATAATAGAGAATTTAAGAGTAGAAATCGACAACTCTTTCCCATCAAAATATCTTCTATTCCTCTCGAGCCAAATACACCACCACACACAAAGAGGCGTAGCCCTCCAAGCATCCAGAATGTGAGGCCCCACATGGCAACCTCTCCAAGCCTCAATCAACCCTCTAACGGATCCAAGCATAACCCAAAGAATCCCAAACAAGCCAAACATCAAATTCCAGCAGTCTCTAACCATGGTGCAATGGAGGAGAAGGTGATCCACAGTTTCCTCATCCCGAAGACACAAATAGCAACGATTGACCACCACCTAATTTCGCCTTCTCAAATTATCCTGGGTTAAGATCCTTCCCAAAACAGCAATCCAAGCAAAAAAAACCCACCTTGAGAGGAGCCTTAGAGCGCCAAACAGCCTTCCAAGGGAAGCGAGCTCTAGTAACATCCGTGAGGCATCTGAAAAAGGATCTAACCTCAAAGTGCCCATGAGAGGTTGCAACCCAGGACCAACAATCAAAAACCCCATCCACAATCCTCTGGCGATACAACAACTCCAAAAAACGAATGGCCTCCTCAATCTCCCAATCCTGAAACAACCGCCTGAATAGAACATCCCGAACAAGAGTCCCACTATGAAGATGATAACAGTTAACCACCATGACCTGCCTATCCGTAGCAATCCTAAAAAGATGAGGAAAAGAGATGGCGAGAGGAGAATCCCCACACCACACATCCTCCCAAAAACTGATCCTCCTACCATCCCTGATTCGAAAACGAACGTGTTTGGAAAACTCATCCCATCCCTTCCGAATGACTTTCCAAACCCCCACACCCCGAGGGCCACGCACCTCCAGAGAACACCACCCTCCTCTAGACTCCCCAAAACGACAAGCAACGACCCTCCTCCAAAGCCAATGCCTCTCCACCCCAAATCTCCACAACCATTTACCAAGAAGAGCCTTATTGAAAGGCACCAGTCTTCTAAGACCCAAACCACCAAAACGAATTGGCCTGCACACCTGATCCCAACAAACCAGATGAAACTTAAACTCTTCGCCTCTACCCCCCCACAGAAAATTACACTGCAATCTCTTAATCATTTCCGCAACTGAAGAGGGAATCTGAAACAGAGAGATAAAATAAGTAGGAAGGCAAGAAAGGGTGCTCTTAATCAGAGTGACCCGACCTCCCTTGGAGAGATACTGCTTCTTCCAACCCGCCAACCTCTTCTCAAATCTATCCACCACAGGATCCCAAACCCCAACACATCTTGATGGGGCCCCAAAGGCATCCCTAAGTAAGAAATGGGAAAAGAGCCAGTACGACAACCAAGAATATCAGCAAAAAACTCAATCTCAGGAACCTCTCCCACCGGCACCAAAATGCTTTTGCCCACATTCACCTTAAGGCCAGAAACAACTTGGAACCAGATCAGGACACACCTCAGATAACAAAGCTGGGACGCATTCGCATCACAAAGAACCAAAGTGTCATCGGCAAACATCAAATGAGAGACCTCCAACTGGGGAGCAGCATCCCTGCCCACCCGAAAGCCTCTCAAAAACCCCAACTCAGTAGCCTTGCTCATCAATCTGCTAAAGGCCTCCATCACAAAAAGGAACAAGAAAGGGGAAAGCGGAGCCCCTTGTCTCAAACCCCTCGAGCTAGAGAAAAAACCGGTAGGAGCACCATTCACAAGAATCGAAAAGCGAGCACTGAAAATACAAAAATAGATCCATCTCCTCCACCGATCCCCAAACCCCATCCTCTCCATCAGGTAAAGAAGGAAGCTCCAACTCACATGGTCATAAGCCTTCTCCAGGTCAAGCTTACACAAAACTCCCGGAACCCCACTACGCAAGCGGAAGTCCACACTCTCACTAGCAATAAGAACTGAGTCCAAAATCTAACGACCTCCCACAAATGCATTCTGAGAATTAAAAGACGACGCCATCCAGGACTTTCCGAAGCCTTGAAGCAAGGACCTTGGCAATCAACTTATAGAAACACCCCACCAAACTAATAGAGCGAAAATCCCTCCCCCCCCCCCCCCCCCCCCCTTCGGAATGAGAGAAATGAAAGTGGCATTCAAGCTCTTCTCAAAAGAGCCCTGAGCGTGGAAAGCATGAAAAGAACCCATCACCTCCCCTATAACCACCTCCCAACACTCCAAAAGAAATCTCATGGTAAAACCATCAGGACCCGGGGCTTTATCCCCGTTGCAACTCTTCATAGCAATAAGAACTTCCTCTTCAGAGAAGGGCACCTCCAGACCCGAGCAGTCCTCACCAGAAATAGAGGCAAACTGAAGCCCTTCAAGCAAAGGTCTCCACTAAACAGACTCAGTAAACAACTTCTTGTAGAACTCTGAAATGCCCTTACAGATATCCTCCTCCTTGCAAAGAAGCACCCCTTCCACATGAATCCTCCCTATATGGTTGCCCCTTTTATGAGCATTGGCCAATCTATGAAAAAATTTCGTGTTACTATCCCCCTCCTCGAGCCACAAAGCTCTAGACTTTTGTCTCCACGAGATCTCCTCCATGATCGCAATCTCAGCA